TAAAAGACCTAACTTTCTACTGACCTTACTACGAATATAATCAATGTGGTCAGTCCAGGAGAAGTGGTTATTAATCACAATGCCTAGGTAAGTAAAAGAATCTACGTTATCGAGAGGGGTATCATCAGCCGAAATAAGTATGGACTCAACTTTGTTCAAGCGGGAACTACTACCGATAAGCAAAAATTTGGATTTTTGAACATTCAGAGTCAGTTGGTTTGCCCGAAGCCACCTACATATACGTTTTAAGTCATCGTTAATCTTACTTTGTAAGTCTACAGTAGATTTGGAAGCGAGGTATAAAACAGTGTCATCTGCATATAAAGTAACCTGACAGGATTGCAAAACATCAGGTAGATCATTCATGTAAATTATAAATAAAAGTGGGCCCAATATAGAGCCTTGAGCAACGCCAGTCGATACAGCGGCAGCTTTGGAGCAAGCATAATCACAGCTAGTCATTTGTGTTCTGTTTGTTAAGAATGAAGTAAACCAGGCTTTGCCAGCATCATCAACACCATAAGTTGAGAGCTTCTGGAGCAGTATTGAGTGATTGACAGTGTCAAACGCTTTGGCGAGGTCTAAAAAAACCGCACCGGTCAGGCAACCATTATCCATGGAGTGAAGGATCTGATCAGAAAGCTGAATGGTGGCAGTAATAGTAGATGACTTCAATCTAAATCCAAACTGGTTGGGTGAAATTAAATTATTCTCAGTAAGATATGCATAAAACTGAGTATGTACCGCCTTCTCTAAAATCTTGCTTACAGTCGGGAGAATGGAAATTGGCCTGTAATTAGAAGCATTCAATTTATCGCCCTTTTTAAACAGGGGTATAACCTTTGCTGTTTTCCATATCGAAGGAAATGTTCTTGTTTGAAGGGATAAATTGAATAAGGCCGTAAGAGAAGGAGTGATAACGTCCACAGCATCTTTTAAAAGACGCGCGCTAATTTTGTCGAGACCAACGGCCTTATTGGTTTTCAATGAACTGATGGATCTTGAGACAAAATCTTCACTAATCGGTTGAAACGTAAAAGTCGAGTGGCAGGCCGTAGCTTTAGCTATGTACGGTTCGGAAACGATTTTTTCGGCAAGGGATTTACCCACGTTCACGAAATATGAATTAAGAGTCGAGGCAATAGATTGAGCTGAGGTGAGAAGGACACCATCAGCTAACAAACTGGTAATCCTGGAGGAAGTTTTAGACGAAGGTAGAGTTTGTTTTAAAGCTTTCCAGAAGTCTTTAGAGCTTGATTTACTGCCGTTAATTATTAGGTTAGTGTAATAATCAGATTTGGCTTTCTTGATACTGTGGGTTACCTTGTTCCTCAATTCACGGTACAGGCGCCAATGAGTGTTATTTTTATTCCCCTTGGCTTTTTTCAGATGGTGATCTCGCTTATTCATTAGAGCTATAATGCTAGAGTTTATCCAAGGAATAGAAAAGCCTCTAACCCGGCTTGTTTTTATTGGAGCATGTACTGCGGCAACCTCTGAGAATAATTTGTTCCAGGTGTCAATACAGTCATCAATATCTTCATGGTTATTTAAAGCCACATGCCAAGGTACTTGGCGGAGATCAGATACAAAGGAATCTTTGTCGTAATTTTTATACGAGCGAAACTGGATCATTTTTGGTGGAGCTCGGTGACGACCGCTCTTCATGACACAGTAAATCAAAGAATGATCGCTCAAACCAGGATCTAAAACAGCGGACTCCGTAATTTTTTGCTGAGCGTTGGTAAAGCATAAGTCGATGAGAGATTCGGAGTGTTCCGTGACACGTGTCGAAGATTCAATCACTTGCTTGAGATCGTGTAGCTCAGCAATTCCCTTGAGCAATCGTTTATGAGCCAAATTTGCATTTCTCCTTCTAATCGAAAAATCTATATTAAAATCACCAAGCGCAACTTTATCAAACGCAGGGTCGATCTTGGACAATGATTTACCGAAGTTATCAGTAAAGTTGTCGATCGGTTGATCTGGTGGTCTATAGATACAACCAATAACAAGAGGTGTACAATTTTTTCGCCAACCATACTTGTAACGTACAGTAGGAAATTACTTACCAGTCAAAGGAACACTTGCATCCAATCGAGCCATTGTAAACTTACAACCGCCGATTTCTTCGGCTAACGTCGCCCTTATTTTAGTTGAAAATAACGAAATAACACGAGGGTTGTATGTGTTACGCCATGCGTCGGTACTATTGAATTCACAAGAACCTGCGCTTAGCGATACGTCTCTTGCTAAGAGCTCATACTGCTGAACTCCAAAGCAAGGAATGGTGCACTATTGAGATCGATGCGATGGAGAAATGTCCGACGATAACCCGGATATTTCATTATTGTTTAATTTGCATAATTATGTAACAGTTATTTTGGGTAGATTTCTAATGAGGTCATCATTACATAACAAGGATTTGGAAGTTTCTGCCTATTAGTTCTTAACCACTTAAGACATAACGTTTTCTCCTTGTGATGAAATAGCACGACTGTGCATCAAAGGTGTTTAATTTTGTCAAACGACGTTAAATCTTTTCTCGGCACCAGTACCTCGATATATAAACATTTTGCGCTTTGGCCACACTCACAGAAAACCAACCTCTAAACCTGTCTTGGAAGAGAGGTTCTGGAAAAAAAGTTATGGGGGAGGGGTGGGGTGGTTTGTTCCTGACTGTGTGTTGATCAAGCTATTCTTCTGTCTCAGATCATGGTGAATGTAACCTAATACAAAAAAACCTACCCCTCCCCCACCTTTTTGTTTAATTTCATATCAATGATAAGACGGGTTTAGAGGTTGTTTTTCTGTGAGTGTAGGCACAGTACAAAATGTTTATATATCGAGGTACTAGTGCCGAAAAAAGACTTAAAGCCATTTGACAAAATTAAACCCCTTCGATGCACAGTCGTGCTATTTCATCCCGTGTAGAAAACCTCTTTTTGGGGGATGTCTTAAGTGATTTAGTGTTTTTTTAGGACGGATGATTCCTCTGCATCTGGAGGAGTGTTGTGAAGATGAGGGGTAGGAAGTCAACGCCCCGGGAACCCATCATGACCATGATGATCACCTTAATAATATCAATGATAGTGCTAATGATAGAAAAAGTGTTAACAACGACAACGATGACGATGACTGTAATACTGATAATGATTTAAGAAAGGTCATTTGAACTTCGAGTGGTGTCTGCTGATCACTCGATCCCAGACCCCGCGCAACATTATGTTCATTTTAAACTACCAGTCATATTTCTTATTTGTTTGAGATAAAATAATCGTGTGTCCCTGTTTACAACAGTTTCAAGGTAAATGAATAAATGAATGAATAACAAAAAAGAATATAAACTACTCGGACTCACTTCCGATCACAACAATAAATCTTCAAGGTGAAGGATGGGGTAAATTAAATTCTAGTTAATGATTGACGATTCCCCAGTTCAAGAATTTTCAAACACGCGGGCTCAGAGGAAGGTGGTAGTGTTCTGGCCAACTTCATGTGACAGTAATTTATGTGTCGATCAATTCGAAGCTTCCACATCCGCCCCGGGCTTCCCCTGGCGTTTAAACTTTTGAACATTGATTCATTTACATAATTTTCGTTATGATGCCAGAAAGAAACGATTTTTTTGTTTACTGTGCGATAGTTACTAAAACTATTTTTCACCTCAGTGACGATGAAAGTGGTTAATATCTACCTCGCGGCTTCTTCCCTCGGGAAAATAGCTGCCACTATTCACCCGCCACTTCGGTGAATAGCTGTTAATATTCTACAGGGCTCTGCTGCATTTAGGGTAAATTATTACTGACCAACTGAAGAGTTAGATTTTATGAATAAAAATTGTTGGACGAAGCAGTACATTGACAGTTTAGCTTAAGAATACAGTCTCGTATCACAACACTCATTTATCAAAGACATCAAGGACATCAAGGACAATTGAGGCTGGAGATTCGACATCACACGGACAGTTCATTTAAACTTTTCAATACTTAACCCTTAAAGGACCACGGGGGTCTTATTTTTTTGGGAAAAATTTGAGTGGTCATGATAAAAGCCACTGTAAACAATAGTGTTTTCAAGTTAACCATAATAAACCATATATATCTGAGATCTGTATAAAATGGGCTATTGATCTATGTTATATATTATGGGATAAAATTTGATGTGTGACGTCACGATTTGCATAATTACCATAATTATGCACATTTTTCAGTAAGTTTGCCTAAAAATTGTAATCAGCAACAAAAATACATAATTTAGACGTCCTTTCAATTAATTTAAGATATGAATACATCAAACTATAATTTTAAAATGAAAACCTTGCTCATTTGCACTGGATAACAGACCTCTCAGGTAAGTATAGTTGAATAACTTTAGTACCAAGATGATGTTCTTTTTAGTTTGTATAGTTACTGTTATGGAAAGTTAATTGTCTCAAAAAACAATTCAGGTTAAAAATTTTACTTTTAACATGGCCTTAATGTTATTAATGTTCAGTTCTGCAAGGTTCTTGCTCTTCCCCTTGCCCGAGGCCTCCCCCTTCCTTCCTTTAGACGTCTGGGTCCTTCCCGCTCTTCATCATTGTAATAGTAATCCCTCAGGGTGTGGTACCTTTGAAAACATGGCTCTTGACACATGCGCACTCCACATACTGCACAGCTGAATGTGGTATCCACACGTTGCAGGTGAACCTTGCATGTAGATCTTGTTTTGTGGCTCACAAGGTGGTGAAAGTGACCCTGGTTAAATCGAATCTGTGGGATTGGATTTTGAGGTGATCTTGTGTCTCTCCGGAAGCTTTGCTGTTGGATGAGCTCATCAATCAATGATCTTCTGAAAAGCAGGCCATTTCTGGTGGTGTGAAGTAGTGATTTGTTCTCTAATATGTGTGCATTTGAAATGCACACTTCTACAACATAGAAGAACAACTTATAGTACCACACTGAGCCCCTCATGAGTCTAGCATATGTTGACACTCTCTGGTCAGCAACATCAACACC